AAGAGAAAGCAATATTTATATTGCCCCCAAGCCCTAATGTTGGCCTAAGCCCATAAAGAATTTAAGACATACTCAAGAAATCTCCACCTTGGCTTGAATTCTACATTAGCAATAACAATCTTCTCCTCCCATTAGAGTAAAACTCAGTTGCAGCAAACATTAACTAAATCCAAGCAATACTTGAATTTAGTAATAGACAAGGGCTTTGTCAACATATCAGCTGGATTATTTTCTGTACCAATCTTCAAGACCTTGATATAGCTATCAGCAAGAATGTTTCGAATAAAGTGATACTACACATCAATGTCTTTTGTCCTCTCATGATACATCTGATCTTTAGTAAGATGTGCAGCACTCTGACTATCACAATGGATAAGCGTTACACCATGATCTCTCTAAATAAGCCTCTTAACCATATAGCCTCTTTAACAGCCTTTGTAATTGCCATATACTCTGCCTCTGTACTAGATAAAGTAATTGTATACTATAAAGTAGCTTTTCAACTGACTGCACAATCTCTAATAGTAAAGATGTATCCAGTGAAAGACCTTCTCTTATCAATGTCACCAGCATAATCAGAATCAATATATCCTGTAAGAGTATCACCGGTTTTCTCAAACTTTAAACCAAAATCAGAAGTACCCTTCAAATATCTCAAAATGCACTTCACAGCTTGCCAATGAGCTTTTTCTGGGCATGATAAATATCTACTTATCATGCTAACAGCATGTGAAATATCAGGTCGAGTACAAACCATGGCATACATGAGGTTGCCAATTGCGCTAGAGTATGGAACACGTGACATATATTTTAGATCCTTATCTGTTTGTAGACATAAACTAGCTAATAATTTAAAATGAGCAACAAGAGGCGTACTTACTGGTTTGTCATCTTTCATACCAAAATGATCTAACACCTTCTCAATGTAACTTTTCTGGGAAAGCTACAATTTTTCCTTTTTCCGATCTCGCCGAATTTCCATGCCAAGGATTTTCCTCGCTCCACCTAAATCCTTCATATCAAATTCCGCGCTTAACTGTGCTTTCAAATTTTATATATCAAATTTATCTTTTGCTGCAATCAATATGTCATCGACATATAACAACAGATAAATAAAAGAACCACTTTGAAGTTTGCACAGATATACACAACTATCAAATTTGCTCCTCAATAGCCAAGTTGCACCATAAACGAATCAAATCTTTTATACCACTATCTAGGTGATTGCTTCAAGTCATAAATAGACTTTTTCAATAAACAAACATGGTCCTTCTTACCCTCAAATTGAAAACCCTCTTGTTGACCCATATAGATTTTCTCTTCAAGTTCACCATGCAAGAAAACTGCTTTCACATTGAGTTGTTCCAACTCTAAATCATGCATAGCGACTAACACAAGAAAAACTCGAATGGAGCTATGCTTAACGACAAGAAAAAACACATCATTAGAATCAACTCCTTCAATCTGACTATAACCTTTAGCAACTAGACGATCTTTGAATTTGATGTCTTCAACTCCAGGAATACCTTCCTTTCTTTTAAAAAACCCACTTGCAACCCACAATTTTCTTTTCTTTTGGTGGCTTGACAAGATCCCACGTTTGATTCTTTTCAAGAGATTCTATCTCTTCATTCATAACAATCAATCACTTTGCTGAATCTTTTGAAGGTATAGCTTCCTTGTAGGTTTTAGGCTCATTATACCCTACTAAATTTACAACTGAAAGAGCATAAGCAACAAAATCTGAGAACCCATATTTTTCTAGAGGCTTTGTTATCCTCCTTGGTCTATCTCTAGCAATAGAATATTGTTCTTTCTCAAGTTCTTCAATCTCAATAGTATCAGTAGATGACTGAATTGGTTGCGAAGAAATTACTTCAAGCTTCACATTCTCCGCAGCACTTTCTAGATTTTCATGACAAGGAACAGATGACTCCTTGCTAGGATGAAGCATAACAGACTTATAAAAACTAACGTCTTTGCTAATGATAATCTTAGATGAATTAGCACACCAAAGTCTATAACCCTTTACACCAGAAGCATAACCAAGAAAGATGCATTTTTTTGCTCTAAGCTCTAATTTGCCTTCACTAACATGTGCATATGCTGGACATCCAAATACTCGAAGTGAAGAATAATCAGCAGATTTACATGATCATATTTCCTCATGTGTCTTGCACTCAATAGATGTGCAAGGATAACGATTTATCAACCAAGCAGCTGTATTAACTGACTCAGCCCAACACTCCTTGCCTAAACCAGTGTTAGACAACATGCACCTAGTCCTTTTAAATAAGGTTTTGTTCATGCGTTCTGCAATACCATTATGTTGTGGTGTATTCACTGTAATATGATGTCTTACAATGCCTTCGTTTTTGTAGAATTCATTAAACTCACCTCCACAAAATTCTAGCCCATCATCTGTTCTTAGTCTCTTGATCTTCTTACCAGTCTGCTTCTCAATCAATGTTTTCCATTACTTAAATGTAACAAAAACATCACTCTTTTGCTTTAGAAAATAGACCCAAACTTTCCTTGAAAAATCATCAATAAAAGTAAGTACATACCTCAAATCAAGGCCTTTCGAAGGAACTTTCGCAGGGCCCCAAAGATCAAAGTGAATATAATCCAAAGTGCCATTTGTTGTGTGAATTCCTATCTTGAAACTAACCCTTTTCTATTTTCCAAAGACACAATGCTCACAGAAATCCAGTTTTCCAATTTTCTGACCACACAAAAGACTTCTTTTACTCAACTCCTCCATCCCTCTAAGACTCAAATGGCCTAGTCTCATATGCCATAATTTAGTATTATCTCATTCTGACATAAAGGATGAAACTGTAGCTACACCAGTAACTGTAATACCTTGCAGTTGATACAAAGTTCTAATTTTTAGACCTTTCATCAACAGAAGTGAACCTCTCATAATTTTCATAACTCTACCTTCGGCTGTAAACTTACAACCATTAGCATCAAGTGTATCCAAAGAGATAATGTTCTTCTTCAAATCAGGAACATGTCTGACATTCTCCAAGGTTCTGATCATGCCATCGTGCATCTTACTACTGACAGTCTCAATTCCACCTGCTTTGCATTTAGCATTATTTTCCATTAGAATAACTCCATCATCATATTCATTGTACGTGGAGAACCAATCACGATTAGGATACATGTGGTATGAACATCATGAATAAAAAAATCCAGCTATTACTGAATTTGTCTTTATCATCTGCAACCAATAACCAATCTTTGTTTTCTTCTTCAGCAACACCAGTTTGAGCGGGATTTTTGTTTCCCTGATTCTACGTATTCTGGTAGTTCTGATTGTTCTGTCGATTTGCATTCCTTTGATTTTGCTGATTCAGATTATTTTCTCTTTGCTGTTTTGCCTTAATTTCAGACAATTTATCTTGATATGTCCCTTAAATTTACAGTAGTTGCAAGTCAAATCCCTATGCTTCGATTTTGAACTGCTCCTACCACCATTGCTTCTCTCAACAGATCTTCCTCTAGCAACTAAACTAGCCCCATGATCATTATTGCCTTCAAAAGTCAATTATGTATCTAGTTTATGCTTATTTAGAAGACTAGTCATGACATCTTCAAAATCGATAGTTTTTCGACAAAAAATCATAGTCTCTCTAAAATTCTTATAAGAGGGAGGTAGTGAAACTAGCAGTAAAAGAGCTTGATCCTCATCTTCAATCTTAACATCAATACTTCTTAATTCAGAGATAATAGCATTGAAATCAGAAATATGAGACTTAAGAGAAGAACCTTATGCCATACGAAGAGTGAAGAGTCGTTGATTAAGCCTCAACCGATTGGTTAGGGATTTTGTCAAAAAAATACTCTCCAATTTCGTCCATAAACCTGAAGCTTTTTTATGATTTAGTACCTCCTGCGGAACTTCATTGGTGAGACACAACTGAATAGCAGATAGAGCTTTTTCATCCAATTTTTCCCAAGTTTCATCCGATGTGCCAATTGATTTCTTTCCTTTCCCAAACGAAAACTCTGCTGTGTAAAAACAACCAATACCATAGGTTTGCTACTCCCATCAAACTTCTCAATATCAAATTTTGTTGTTGAACTTGAAGCCATAACCAGAAGATCGAAAAACCTCAAGGCTATGAGACAATAACGAAATAAAGCTAAGAAGAATAAAGAACACACAAATTTATGTGGAAAACCCTTGAGGGAAAAATCACGGAGAGAGGAGAAGCAAAATCCACTATAGAATATTGAAGATTACAAAATGTGGCTAAAAAGCTAAAAACTTTTTGTCTCAACTTCTTAACCTAATAACTTGAGAAAAAGCAATATTTATATTGCCCCCAAGCCCTAACGTTGGCCCAAGTCCATACAAAATGTAAGACATACTCAACATTATCATTATTATCTTTTGGCTAATTGTCACAATTCTTTGTTATTACGTCCTTATCAAGCCCGATCTGGTATGTCCCTATTCAGTTTTTTATCTTGGTCAAGTTCACAAATTTTTCCTTTATCACACGCGTAAATTGTTCGTTGATCATATGGCAACTGCTTCACATTGAATGACGTCAAACGAAATATGAATGGTCAAGTTGGCAATTCCTCAAGAGCCCTTATCAGTGACTCAGCATATAGTTGAATGTCCAGAAAATTCTGAAATTTTGTTGGGCAATATTGATGTTCTAAAGTTTGAACCGCTAAATAAATGCACGGTTTAATATATAAATGGTCTTATATTCTCCTTTATTTGGATATTAACTTAAGACTAAAACGTAGAAATATGTAATACGGGAGGCAAATATGGGCTTGAAAAAAATTTGAACTCGAGACATCATGTTTAATAACATGTGAAAGTTTGTGGGATCAAAGTTAAATATAAATGGTCTTATATTCTCCTTTATTCATTTTGGAATTGTAGGCTGCCTCCCACAAATTTCGCAATGAATAAGGAAAAATAAATGTCTAGTTTAGCCAAGAAAATGTTAAACTAGCCCTTCTGTCTTACCAAGACCAGTCTCACTTGTATTAAATAAATTGCTGTCCAGATCTGATGAAGCACAATGTCCAAAGACATACAGTATCTGGTCAAAGATAGCTTTATGGGCAACAGTTTCTTCAACATTCAACTCCATGATCGACCCTGATGGATATGTAAAATACGTTCTCTCTAGCTTGAACAATTACATGTTGAATCCCTCTGGAGTTTGAAAAGGGAAATGGAGAGAAGGGTAGTGATCATAGGAGCAGGAATCAGTGGCCTTCTCGCCTGCAAGTATTTGGTCGAGAAGGGCTTTGACCCGGTGGTGTTCGAGGCCGACGATCGCATCGGGGGACTCTGGAATCGCACCATTCGATCGACCAAGCTCCAGAATGCGAAGGAAACTTACCGGTTCTCAGACTTCGATTGGCCGGCCTCCGTGCAGGACATCTACCCGAGCCACACTAAAGTCCTGGACTATGTAGAGTCCTATGCTCTGCACTTCAGTTTATATCCTTACATCAAGTTCCATTCCAGAGTGATTAGTATCAATTATGTCGGGGAGTCGTTCAAAGAGATGAAGATGTGGGATTTGTGGGGCGGGACAGGGACGGCCTTCGGCTCGAAAGGGAAGTGGCATATTACTGTCCTGGACACAGAGACTAATGCCACAGAGGTAAATTAGCTATTTCTTGATAGTTCAGTTCAATTCGATCCTGAGATTTGAGAAGCATCAATACGTGCTTATTGTCTAGTTTCAGACATTTATGATTGCTTGATGCGATTTTAAGTGAATGGTGCAGTTTGGCCAGGTTCACCAAGCTGAATTTGTTATTCTCTGCATTGGACGGTTCAGCGGGCTTCCTAACATTCCAGAGCTCCCACCGAACTATCGCTCCGAAGTGTTTGATGGCAAGGTGATGCATTCAATGGAATATTCAGATATGGAGAAATCTGCAGCTGCTGAATTGATCAAAGGAAAGCAAATCACAATCGTCGGTTCGCAGAAATCGGCAGTGGATTTAGCATTTGAATGTGCAAAAATAAATGGTAAGAGCAATATCGAGTAGACTTATCTGCTGGTAGACTGTGGTTGTGTGAATTGTTACTGTGAGCTATATAATCAAGTTCTGTCAAAGCTCTGAAATTCATAATATCCTCTTGAAAGTTCATCTGAAACTTCTGCAATTTCGTCGAACTACATTGAAACCCATTCTATAGATGAGTAGACAAGCGCATGGAGTGGGGTTCAATCATGCTCAAAGTTTCTGCACATAAATGATTTCGTATCTACAACTCCTGACGCTTCTTATAGGAATTGAATGGTTGTGGTAGCACACCAACAAGGACCATATTCTAATAGAAGACTTCATCGAGAGATGCGCTTTCCATGCTTTAAATGATCGAGCTTATCTGATATTAGCGTTTTCCTTATCCCATCCTCATTTCTTGGTCGGAATCAGGAGTCAAATACCCTTGTGTGATGATCCAGAGGAATCCTCATTGGTTCCCGCCCAGCGAAAGCTTCTTAATGTCTCACCTTGGCTACTTGTACTTCAATCGATTCGCAGAGCTGCTTCTTCATAAGCCGGGACAAAACGTCCTGTACCGGCTTCTTGCCACAGTGCTTTCCCCATTGGTATGCGCATGCTTCCACTTTTTCGGTTTAGTACCGCAAAAACTTGCTTGTCTATCAGTCGTAATCGTAAATAGACGACTCTTTTATCTGTCAATTTTTTTTTTCATAATTCTCTTTGTTATGTGCATCCACTTGTCAATCAAAAAGTTTGTTCACGAGGTAACCCTGAAATTTCTAGAGATGGGGCATCTCGAAATTCTCGGAAATCTATCTCCAGTGGAAACTCCCGTTGAAGAAGTACGGATTAGTACCGAGACAAAGCTTTTTCGAGGACATGTCTTCGTGTCAAATTGGCGTTTTGCCCGACAAGTTCTACGATAAAGTGGGGGAGGGAAGAATCCTAATCAAGAGGTCGGAGAGCTTTCGCTTCTGCAAGGAAGGTCTGATAGTCGGCGGAGAAGACAAACCGATCTCGAGCGATCTCGTGATCCTTGCTACCGGATATAGAGGCAATCAGAAGCTCAAGAACATTTTCAAAACTTCAGTCTTCCAAAAGTACCTCGTGTCTTCACCAACATCAATCATTCCTCTTTACAGGTACCATTTCATACTTGCAGCTGCAGCACCAGTTAGCATTAGTTTCCACTTAGAAGCCTTGAAATCCAAGATGCATCTTAATGTTTAAGTGAGGATTATCTATCAAGGACCAACAATAAGATATTATCTAACTCTGAGACCGCATTGCAGCATCTGGCTAACCTTAAGGTCTATTATGTATTATTACAACAATAAGGTGTGGTACGAATTCGAGGGCACTCAAAACGTAGTTTTTATCCCCAGAGGATTTTTTAGTCTCATTATACCTGTCTTAAATGCCGACTTCAGGCAGGTGATTCATCCTCGGATTCCGCAGCTCGCGATTATAGGATACGCAGAGGGCTTCGCGAACCTGCCGACCTCGGAGATCAGATGCCAGTGGCTCGTGCACTTCCTTGAAGGTAACATCAAGCTGCCGAGCATCGGGGCTATGGAAAAGGACGCAGCGAGTTGGGAAATTCACTTGAAGAGGTACGGTGGGAGGAATTTCTGGAGATCATGCATTGGAACCACCAACATATGGTACAATGACCAGCTGTGCAAGGACATGAACTGCAATCCCAGAAGAAAGAAGGGGTTTTTGGCCGAGTGGTTCCAACCTTACGGACCAACTGATTATGCAGGCCTAACTGATCAGAAACACTAAAAAACAGACATAAACCTTCCTATGATCAGTGATGGATTCGACATGTTGCTTGTGATATATTATATTATAGAATAGGGGATTGGTTCATGATATGGTCGTATGCTTGGATTTTTAAGCAAAAGTCTACAAGATTCGAGTCATACGAATGCAAAAAATAGTGATTTTTTGGCATTTTGAATGTAACTTCTTGAGACAACCCGCCCTTGATACCATGCTCTACAGAATGAGGGTGCTAAAGACATATTTTCATATGGTGATTTGAGATAAGCGTATTTTCAATGGCTTCCTGTGCTCTCTGACTCAGCCCAATGGTTATAGAGAATCCAAAGAGAAACTGCAGATTCGTACATAGAGGAAGATGCCCACAAGTCATAAAGAAAATATAAATTAATTAAAGATGATTGAGAATTGATCAAATTGCAATGAAAATCAAGGACCAAACCGTAAAAAATTAGTATAATTTACTCGAGATAAAACCTTCCAGAAGAGGGGGAAAAGACAACTCTTATTTGTCCTCTGTTTTTTTGTTGGGGAAAACAAGAAGCGAAAGACGTGAGTTTTGAGATGTTATCCCAAATTTGTATGGAGCCCCCAGTTACTTCGTTTGAGCCAGCATTTCCACATACAAGACACTCGGGAACAAACAAACATCACCCAACTGCGAAACTACGATAAAGAAGAACTAATGAACGAGAAACCCAGATCACAAAACAGAGACACCACGCTCTGCAACCATCTTGATGACCATGGCTTCCTCTTCGATGCACCAGCTGTCTTTCGCCAAACGCCCCCTTCTTCCTCGTGATTCCCGGCTGCAACCTCGCCCCCAATTCTCGTCCGTACGCTTCGCATCGTTCAGCGTCCGAGCCAGCTCTGCTCTTGCTGTTGAGCCGGTACACCGTACACTTTCCAAACGTTACGCCCGTTTTTTTTTTTTTTCCTGTCTCTCTTTTTTTTGTTTGCCCCAGTCTATTATGGAGTTCCTGCTATGCAGTGTTTTTGAGGCTGTTGATATACCGTAACTATGTATGCTCTAGTGTTGTCTTATTGTAATTCTCGCGTTCTTATTCCACAAAAAAGAAGTAAACTGTAATAAGAATGACATCAAGAACTGTCAAGAACAACCCCAGAGCCAGACACCTAACAAGTAAAAACTTTCATTGAGCCTTACTTGCTGAATTTTGCAGCATTTTTCTGTTAATGTGTTTCCCGTGGCATGCTGTTCAAGGTAGTCAATCTGACTTTGTGATGTGGTAACTTTCTGATTGTATAAGCCTTATTAGTCCACAATGAGTGTGACTTCACGATAATACATTGATCCCATCTTGGTTTAACACTTCACCAGAATTATGCTACGTAACCGCAAATGTTTGGAATTTAAAAGAGCGGCAACATCAACTTAGAAAGGCAGGATTTTTCACTGCCTCTTGAATTTGTGAGCCAACTAGGAAGTCAAATTTATTTTTTCTGTGTTTTAAGTTTGAGGGTTGAGTGGCGAGTGCAGACATTTCTGTAGTGTAGCAATTTAGTTTATGATGTATATGCGAATGATAACCATAACGGAGCCATCCAAGTTTGACTCTGAAATTTTTTCATTTTAATGAATCTGCTGCAGCTGAACTGTCTTAGTGCTGGATCTCTAGTCTGTTAATGACAGATCTTTTTCCCTTAGTAATGTTCCCAACAAACTGAATTTTTTTGAAATGCCATTTTATGGGATATATGCCAGTGCCGACATCCTTATGCAACATCCTTGTGGGCCAGCTTCTTTCTTTCTTTCTTTCATTAATATGCTTGTGAGTGAATCAGATTTCTCATTTCTCAGGACTTGGGAACTCAGAAAGATCGAACTTTGGAGGCTGAGATATTTTCATGCCCGATATGCTATGAACCATTGATAAGAAGAGGCCCATTTGGTCTAAACTTGTAAGTTCCGGAACTCATTATCTGATTTAGTCAACTGATTTGCATTAATGCTTTGATGGGATTAGTTCTTACTCATAACTTCAAAATGTTCAGGAAAGCTGTGTATAGGTCTGGTTTTAAGTGTAGTAAATGCAATAAGTCATATTCCAGCAAAGACAACTTTCTAGACCTTACTCTTGCTGCTGGTTTAAGGGACTACATTGAAGTGAAGCCAGAGCGGACAGAACTATTCAGGTATTATTAACTGTGGTTTACGACCAGGCCGCTTCAACTTGAATTATGGAATTATCATCATTTAATACCTTTTGCACTATTGGTGTAAAGGTCTTCTTCTTTTTTTACTTTTAACCATTACCTTTTTCGCTCTTTACCTCCACATCTGAAGTTATGTTCAATTGGTTGGGGTGGAAAGCAGGCGAGGGAGAACAAGTCCATACTTCATATGTTGAACTGTGATAATCGAGTCCTCTTTTTTATAGGCAGCAGGTTAAGGTTCCTCTATGGTTTGTGGATGTTCTTATAAGCCGGAATGGAATTTTGGAAATTATAAATTCCATAATGCTTTTAGTTGGTTGTGCCATTATTTGAGATGACTTTACACTTTTAACTACTGAATTAATTGTGTAATGGCAAGGATATTCACATAAGAAATAGGATATTGCCCTTCCCCAAGGATGGATGTGCTAGCTTCCTTGCACCCATTGCGAATAATACTTGGTCTTTTCGCAATTTCCTCATTCTCAGATCATACTTTTCTGCTCAATAAACCCACCATATTATTTAATTGCAAGGTACATAATGTACATTCTTGCTCAATTTCTGCACTACTTCGTCTTCTCTAGATTTCCTTAAAGATTCACTGATAAATTTCCGTGAGGGTTCCGATTCCTCACCTTGCATTCTTGCTTTTTATAGGAGCCCCCTTGTTTCATTCTTATAAGAGAGAGGCTGGCGTCAAAATTTTAACCGCAGTGGCTTTCCTGGTCGAGATGAAGAAGTACGGTTTCTGGCTGATTTTTTCCATTAATGGATTTAGCTATGAGGATATGTGGAAGATCATTTTGAAACTGCAATAGCTGTAGAAATTTTACCTTGTAAAATGTGCATGCGGTGTTCTTACATGGGCTATAAAAAAATATCAGATTCCTCCACTAAACCTGTTATGCAGGAGCAAGCCAATTCTAATTTTCTAAGCTTATTGTTCTTGCAAGATTTCCATGGTAAGCTGCTAAAGGTGTAATCTATTATCTGAATGCAGTTTAAAATGGCTGAAGAGTACTTCAAACCCGCAGAGGGTGGCCTTCTAGTTGATGTTAGCTGTGGAAGTGGTTTGTTTTCCAGAAAATTCGCAAAATCCAGGACTTATTCTGGAGTAATTGCTCTTGATTATTCCGAAAATATGCTGCGCCAGTGTTATGATTTCATTAAACGGGACGATGCTGTTTTAAAAGCGTAAGTTCTTTCACTCCATAGGAACTTGAAATTGTGGAAGCTGTCAAGTAAAATGTTATTCTTGTGTGCCTGTGAAATTAATAACTTATAGAGGAGATGGCTTTCATGATGCCTACTATTCTGGGACATTTGCAGGAATCTAGCTCTTGTTAGAGCTGATGTTTCAAGGCTTCCATTCTCATCTGGTTCGGTTGACGCTATACATGCTGGGGCAGCATTGCACTGCTGGCCTTCCCCTTCCAATGCTGTACGTTTCTATCTCTCATTTAATCTAGCTCAGTGTTATTGAACCGTACTGTCTCATAAGTCACATAGGCATCCCGGAAATTGACTAGATACTGGAGTTATGTTCGGGTGCTTCACAGAATTCAGAATGAGTAAAGTGAATTTCAAATACGAAATGGTGACACATGCCAGCGAATGAATGTTAGGCTTGAAGTTGTATCACAGATGGATGTCATTCCAAGCAGCTTACCTTAGTATTTTTTGTTTTGATCTCCTGAAGATACTTCTGTCTGGGTCATCATTTCCTTCAGTGGGGATTTGTATTAAAACTTGGAAGAGATTATCGATTACAAAATATAGTTGACAGTTACGCATCCATTATCGCTTTGAATGTGGCCAAGACATTCTTACTTTGAATATGGCCTATGGGCCATATCAACCTCTTTTCAGTGGTCATACTGGCAAAGTCACTCCGTGGAAGGATGGGTTAGTTATTATCAAGTTAAAATGGAAACTGGCCAGCTGCTGTGGCCCTGGACATCTTTATTGCACTACTCACTTCCAACAAAGATTAGCATTGAGTTGCCAACAATTGCCATTATAACAGGGGAATTACCTACCACAGATATCTAAAAGTCGAAGGATTTATAGGGATTACGTCCAGAGGCAACTTCAGACACTGTGCTATGTCTGCCTCCAGAAGGCAGAAGTACGTCATCAGAAGCATGGAGAGAGAGAGAGAGAGAGAGAGAGAGAGAGAGAGAGGGAAGGGGGAGTGGGGGCGGAAGCATGTAGGACCTGATAGCACCTCCCCTTGAACATGATGGTAACTTCAGATGGAGCTTAAATGAGTTGGTAAACCTGATTATGGAAGAAGGCTGAGAATGGAGACAAAATAATGAAATGCTAGAGCTATGTCTTCTTTTAATATGAGTGATGAAGGGTCAGGCAACAAGAGCCAGTAGTCTCTTCTGTCAAGAAGTCAAGCAACAAGTCTTCCTAAGCAGAGAGGTTATTTTATGTGGTAACGCTACAAGAAATGTAGAGATTGAGACAAATTGAATAGGTTCACAGCACGGCTGGCATGGAAATTAATTAGGAATGGAGCTTGCACAACCAAATTATATGAGGTTCTTAGTACCTTCGTGCAGTGATGCAGTGTGTTACAAGTGTATTGATGAAGCTGATGGTTTGGGAGTAGTTAGCGGATTGGTCTATGAGAGGTCTCTAGTAAACTCATGGAGTATTTCACATATATACATGTCCAGGCCATATTGACCAAGGAGGGATACCGCGGTGGAAGAGGGGATGGAAATCTTTGTAGCTTTAGATAGTTACTAGCATACTTTAGAATCTGGTCTTGAGGGTTGTGAATCTGTACCGTTTCAAATAATTTCTTGCCGGTAATTTTAGAAGTTAGTAATTTCATATCTGCATGGAAAAATAATGATAATTCATGGATCTGGTTTGCATGATTCTGTGACTCCTCCCTAAAGCGCTCAAAGCAAATTTCATCATGGCTTAATGTGGCTGAACTCAATGATAGGTTCAGTTTATCTAATCACAGTACAATGATGTGAAAAAAGATGTGGAAAAGAAATTTTGGTGATTACAGGTCTGACGAGCTTTAGCTGTGGAACAAGTTCCTGATATACACACTATTCTTCATCTACATCAAATGGCTCATATAAAGTTCTCGACCCCTCTGCCATGTATCGGCAGATTGCAGAAATTACTCGAGTATTGAGAAGCGGTGGAGTTTTTGTGGGAACCACCTTCCTCCGGTACACTCCGTCTACTCCCTGGATAATACGGCCTTTCAGACAGGTACATCTGTATGCATACTGCTTGGCACATTAGACCCATTTTTCTTCTTATAATACCACTTTTGTACACTTTAACCTGCATACATTGCTACTCCGCTTGGACCATGAGGAGATGAAAATAAGATATACTAATTCACTTACGAATGGATTGTCGTTTCATTAAGGTCTGCGATAGAGGTTTAGATTTTGAACATCCAATGCATGTGTATTGACAAGTAATCCATCTTGTGGTCTGATGCGAGCCCACTTGCTCCAGATATAGTATACTAAGTAGCGCGCGACACGCGACACGACACGCGATACGTTATTTCAATTATGTATAAATAAATATATTAATTAAGAAACTAAAAATAAATAATTAAATTTGAAAAAAAGGAAAGTACAAACGCTGCCTTCTCCTTTACGTCTCCACCCTATTTTCTCTCTCTCTCCCTCCTCCAAAGCCTTCTCTTTTAAGTTTTAACACTTTTTCTCCTCACGCTCCTCGACGCCCGCGAGGGAGAAGATATGCCTTCGGACACGAGCGAGCGCAGGCCGGCCCAGCCTTAGGCCTCCTCCATCGTCGCGGGGGGAGGAGCCGGCCTGCACCATCCGCCTCCGCCGCCTCAGGCGGAGCCGCTACTCTGCCTGTGCTGCGACTCCACCAACACCAAGTTTTGCTACTACAACAACTACAACCTTTCCCAGACTCGCCACTTCTGCAAGTCCTGCTGCCGCTACTAGACCCAAGGCGGCACCCTCCGCAACGTCCCCTTCGGCAGCGGCTCCCGCAAGTCAGCGGCAGCGGTGTCGGCGTCGGCGTCCGCCTCGTCGAAGAGGCCCCGCCTCCGTCCTCGTCTCCTTTCTGCAACTCCTCCAACTCCTCCATGACCCACGACCTTCGGCGCCGGACACGCGTGTCACCGGCATGTCCGGCGCATTGACCGCGTGTCGGATCTCCGACACGCGTTGACCACGTGTCGGCCGCGTGTCCGAGCGTGTTGAAGCCTGTCGGACACGCGACACATGTCCGACACCAACTCGGACGCCTCCCAAGCATGTCGGTGCTACTTAGTTCGTTTCATCAATGATTACTTGTGTGACTGTTTTCTAGTAGAATTGGATGCATAAACACAACGAAATAAAGAGTAAAGGCGAGAAAGAGAAATTGAGATATAAGGTCTATCCTGGTTCACCCTTAAACTAGGGCTACATCCAGCAAGAGATTCTACTATAATTAGCACCTCGCACCTCTCTGTTACAATTTTCAATAAAAGATAAAGAGATTATATATAGGCGGCATAAGAAAACCCTAGGAGCCGAGAAAGTCCTAGGCCATTTAGTAACTATTCACGGGCCTAAGCCCAAACTACCAATAAAATACTAACCGAAACTATAAAAACTCTCTGGTGGGACCATTAGTAAGTAATTCAAATTACTACAACACCCACACGCAAGATCTATTTCAAATATTCAACACGTATTCCCCGTAGTAGATAATCTATGAGTTGATTAGTCTGGATCTCCTTTTTCGCTCACTGTCTTGGTTAAACCATTCTACCTAGGCTGAATCTAACCCTCTCCTTTTCCGAAGTTGAAATTTCTTGAGCAAATGGTTCTGATCCGTGCACCTATAACTCACTCTGCATAACTCATAGTGCAATTACAATATTTTGTGATACTAGGACAGCTTCTGATTGCCACATACCATGCACTCTTACAACTTTCTGATGTATGCTGGACGATCTCATCCTATGTTAAACTCCCTCATAGAGTGTCTTGTGAAGACAAAATGAAATGCTCTCAGACAACAATAGAGACCGAAAGGTTTTCTTCCTTCATGGTCTTAGCATCTCTGCCTAGGTGGATTTCCACGAAACTCTTTTTTCGTACGGAGTGATTTCCTTAAGGTTGTCTCAAAGACAAGCTGTTATTCTCATAATGCGCGTCGAGCTTGTTTGTGACAAAGTTTGGTTGTGTGGCAGAGAACTGCGCAGAGTATCGGCTTTCTGACTGCCGAAGAGATCGAGGATTTGTGCACTTCATGTGGTCTAACCAATTACACAAGCAAAATTCAGCAATCCTTCATCATGTTCTCTGCTCAGAAGCCTTGACACCAAGTAATGCTCAAAATTAAGATATTATTTGCCCCATGATTAGTTTCAGTGTTTCTTCCTTATCAATAAAGTGGGTACTACATGATTTCTGAGAACATGTGAAATTATGAGCTTGAGTTCTGGGGAGGTGTAAAGTATTGTATTGTTACCAATAAGAAAGAAATGCATTTTGGTGTCAGAATGATGATATTTTAGGGCCTTCTTTGAGAGAGGGACCGGAATGACAGTGCAACGGCCAATGCCACGGTCGATTTTTTTGTTAATGATGATTTGAATCCAATGTTTGATGGTCCCAGATGGTCGAGTTGATAAAAACATTGGGTTAGTCTGTGGGCAAACTGATCCAATTTGTTTCTAGTGTTTAGGTGACCAAAACAATCTACTCCCTAGAGTTTTCTCTGTTATTCTTCTCTGAGAAAAGACCAAGTTCTTGGAGCTGCACATAAGGTTAACAGGCACACCAAAGAAGTAAGTCGAATTGACTCTCATGATGTACCTCATTAGACAAAAGAGTTTTCTTTTGTTCTTCTTTTATGAGAAAAGACCAAGTTCTTGGAGCTGCACATAAGGTTAACATGTAGACCAAAGAATTAAGTCGAATTGACTCTTATAATATACCTTATTCCAAAGGAAAAGAAGGGATTTAAATAATCACAAGAGAAAGGAATTGGAGAGATTTAACTAAAAATGCATTTTGAATTCTAGCAAGAGAAAGGAATGAAATGTTACATGTTATGACCGTAACTCTAATGTCTTTTTACGTGATTGTAATAAAAACTACAATAAGGGTAAAACTAGGGAAGAAGAAAAAATTATTTGATAAAAGCACAAATGCCCAAATTAACTACTCCTGATCCCACCTGTATACGTATCTATACGCATACAATAAAGAGTCTACTTATGTGTACAAAATCTTGTGATATTCATGGGATTCTCTGTGAGCTTCAACACATAGGCTCTACACATTTATATGTACTGTAATCAATTATGTTCGTAATGTTAACAATTTGTACATGAAAACCACACTAGCATCACTCTTAGATCTTTCTTTTGGAGAAAGGGCTCTACATGTGAGCTAGCTCCTACAATATTAAGTAATATATATGATATATAATTGTTTTTGGGTGCGAATATAATAAAGATGGGTGCATGTGGAGGAGGGTTGGAGTTATAAATAGGAGGTTTAATATCAGGAAAAACTCCAAATTAGTATATTTGTGTCACATTTATTACAAACTAATTTTTGTGTTACAAAAACCCTTCATACTAGTACACTCGTATCACATTTACCTTCCATTAGCTTCCGTCAAATTTCACTGTTAAATTGCTTAGTAGGAATAACGCGTGGTAATAACTCGGATGACGTGGCAAGTCCATGTGAAAATTCAAATTTCTCTCTTTTCTATTATTAATGGAATGACACGTAATAATAACTCAAATGATATGACAAGTCCACATGAAAATTCGAATTTTTCTCTTTTTTCATTATTTTATTCTTATAATTTTTAGTTTTTACGTCCCTTTCTAACAGCAAAATGTTTTATTCATTTTTTTTACTTTTTACCCAGTGCGCTCCAGCCTTAATATTCAGCTTCGTCTTCGATTTCTTATTGCCGTCAAAACCAATCTCTTTCTTTATTTGATATCTTGCTTAATTTCACTCATCCATGAGCACTCATCACTGCACTCTTTTTATCCTCTGTTTTATTTTCGGATCTTTCGAAACAAGCCGAACGAGTTCGACAAACAAACTTGGGAAAAAAAATCGAAATCGAGAGATTACCAGAGATAAAAGAACGTGCTCGACAAAGAAGTGGGTGGTCGAATGAGTCACGAAGACGAAGGCGAAATAGAGTGCTTGATGAAGACGAAGCCGAACAGACAACTGCTAGGGATCTTTCGGACCTAGCCCAACGAGATCAACAAGCAAACCCGTGAAAAAAAAAATTTGAAGAGGAGAAGAGAGGCAAAAGAGTATGATCGACAGAGAAGAGTGTGCTAGAACGAGTCACGAAGACGAAGAGGAAGAGGAAGCAGAGTGCTCCGAGGGGGAGAGAATGAGCCATACTTGTTTTCAAACGACGGCTAATTGAAGCCATTAAAAAGAAGAAGTTGAGTATTAAGGTTAGAGCTTTCTGAGTAAAAAGAAAATGAGAGAGATATGAATTTCCTTGTGAATTTGCCACGTCATCTGAGTTATTGACACGTATCATTCCAGCTCAATAATTTAACGATAAAATTTTACGGAAGGTAAATGTGACATGAGTGTACTAATTTAGGATTTTTTGTGATACAGAAATCAGTTTGAGGGCATATATGACACATGTGGACCGGTTCGAGATTTTTCGTGATATTAATTCTAAATTGAAAAGGCATTTGGAAGGGCGCAAAGAGATGCCAAAACTTTTGTTTGTTCTCCTTGCTGCTTCTCCTTTGACCATTGACCACCTCCGAAAAAAATAAAATAAAAATTGGAAATAAAAGCCCCATAATTAAACACTCAAAAACTTAGAAAAAGAAACATAGAAAAGAATAATTTTGTCAGTGCAAAGCTCCAGGAAAACGTTGTTCTCTAATTTTTTTTTTATGAGTCTACACAAGTCGAATACCAAAAATTATCTTATATAGCAATTACATTAATAACGTGATGGAGAAAAGAAATAAAGTTAAATCAATTTTCAATATAACGAAAAGGAAAGTAAGTAAATATGAATATATTCATATTATAAACCAAATATAATGGCAAATAAAACAAAATCCATAAGAAGAATATAAAGAATAAAATAACTAAAAATAAATATATCCGTACGTATATAGGTAGGGATTATTTAGCTCTAAAAAAAAGTAAATGAGAAAAGAGTTTACGTAAAGTGTAGTTAAATTCTATTCGAGATATAAAATGGTGCTGGTACAAAAAGAACGTGGTGTCGGGATTGGAATCGGGATAGCTATTGGAACTAAAATGAAAAAATCTTTATTTACACAACCATAATTTGAATTCGTACTACAAAACTCTATTGATATTTTTTAATAACTCTCATATTTGATTGAGATAATAACAAATAATAGCATACACAATATATCTTGATTGAATTTGAATCATTATCCATACTTATCATAAAAAGAATAATGATAAATTACTTCGGAATTTTTTTTCAACTCCAAAAACAATTACTTTATCTTTCTTGACGTGCCCATCAAGCCTGATCTGGTCGGCCCCTATTCAAATATTTATCTTGGTCAAGTTCACAAATTTTCCTGCATCGCAAACATAAATTATTTGACCTTATCGCGCGTGCTTCATGTTGAACGACGAACAAACGAAATTTGAATGGTCAAGTTGGCAATTTCTCTCAAGAGCCTAGATCTCTGTATTTAGCTGAAAGTTAAAGCTACTATGAAATTTTGTACCTTGTAGAATACTTCCAATTATTATAAAAAATTTAAATTATTACGTCAAGGTTTGGTTTAATATCTAAGTATTTTAACACTCTCTTTCATGCTTAAGTTGAACTTTGGGCTGACACTAAAGTATGCTAATATATAATACTGGAACAAAATAAAAGCCCGCAAAGATGAATTTAGAACTTGATGTTTTAATACCAAGTGAAATTTTGCTGGATTACAACTAAGTGTTCTAAAATTCTGTTAGAATATTTAAGTATTAAGTCACGTCTTCATTTTTTGACCAAAAAAAAAGTCGTGTCTTCACTTAAAAGTTTAAATTTTAAAACGATAGGTTGTGCCCAAAATTTCACAATAAATGAGGAAAAAACAAATGTCCAGTTGAGTCAAGAAAATGTTAAACTAATCCTTTTGTCAAGACCAACAACCAAGACCCCTTGTATTAAACAAATTGCCATCTAGATCAGATGAAGCACGATGTCCAAAATGGTCAAAGTTTGCTTTATGCGTACCAGTTTCTTCAACATTCAATCCATGATCAATCCTGATGGATATATAAAATATGTTCTCTCTAGCTTGAACAATTACATGTAGAATCCCTTTGGAGTTTGAAAAGAGAAATGGAGAGAAGGGTAGTGATCATAGGAGCAGGGATTAGCGGCCTTCTCGCCTGCAAGTATTTGGTCAAGAAGGGCTTCGACCCGGTGGTGTTCGAGGCTGACGACCGCATTGGGGGAGTCTGGAATCACACCATTCGATCGACCAAGCTCCAGAATGCGAAGGAAGGTTTCCGGTTCTCGGACTTCGATTGGCCGGCCTCTGTGCAGGAGACGTTCCCCAGCCACACTGAAGTCCTGGACTATGTTGAGTCCTATGCTCAGCGCTTCAATTTATATCCTTACATCAAGTTCCATTCCAGAGTGATTAGCATCGATTATGTTGGGGAGTCATTCGAAGAGATGAAGACGTGGGATTTGTGGGGCGGGACGGGGACGGCATTCGGCTCAAAAGGGAAGTGGCACATTACTGTCCTGGACACAGAGACTAACGCCACGAAGGTAAATTAGCTATTTCTTGATAGTTGGGTTCAATTCGGTCCTGAGATTTGAGAAGCATCATTACATGCTCATTGTCTAGTTTCAGATTTCCATGATTGCTTGATGCGATTTGAAGCGTGGTGCATATTGGCCAGGTTCACCAAGCTGAATTTGTTATTCTCTGCATCGGACGGTTCAGCGGGCTTCCTAACATTCCGGAGCTCCCACCGAATTATTGCTCCGAAGTGTTCGATGGTAAGGTGATGCATTCAATGGAATATTCAGATATGGAGAAATCTGCAGCTGCTGAATTGATCAAAGGAAAGCGAATCACAATCGTCGGTTCGCAAAAATCGGCAGTGGATTTAGCAGTCGAATGTGCAGAAGCAAATGGTGAGAGCAGTATCGAGTAGACTTATCTGCTGGTTGACTATTGTTGGGTGAATTGTCACGTATTATCCTCTTAAAAGTTCATCTGAAACTTCTCCAATTTTGTTGAAGTACATCGAAACCCATTCTATAGAAGAGTAAGCTAGTGCACGGAATGGGGTTCAATCATGCTTAAAGTATCTACACATAAATGAATTTGTGTCTGCAACTCCTGACTCTTCTAATAGGAATTGAATAATTGCGATATCTACTGCATACCAACAAGGACCATATGCTAATAGAAGACTTCATCAAGAGATGCGCTTTCCATGCTTTAAATGATCGAGCTTATCGGATATTAGCGTTTTCCTTATCTCATCCTCATTTCTTGATCGGAATCAGGAGTCAAGCACCCTTGTGTGATGATCCAGAGGAATCCTCATTGGTTGCTACCCGGTGACGGCTTCTTAATATCTCACATTGGCTACCTGTACTTCAATCGATTCGCCGAGCTGCTTGTTCATAAGCCGGGGCAAAACATCCTGTACTGGCTTCTCGCCACAGTGCTTTCACCATTGGTATGTGTATACTTTCATTTTTTCAGTTTAGTTCCACAAGACTTGCTTGTCTATATCAGTCATAACCATAAATAGATGACTCTTTTATCCGTCAAGGTTTTATTTATTTATTTTCATGATTCTCTTTATTATGTGCATCCACTTGTCAATCAAAAAGTTTGTTCACGAGGTAACCTTGAAATTTCTAGAGATGGGGCATCTCGAAATTCTCGGAAATCTATCTCCAGTGGAAATGCCCATTGAAGAAGTATGGATTAGTACCGAGACACAGCTTTCTCGAGGACATGTCTTCGTGTCAAATCGGCATGCTGCCCGACAAGTTCTACGATAAAGTGGAGGAGGGAAGCATCCTAATCAAGAGGTCGCAGAGCTTTCGCTTCTGCAAGGAAGGTCTGATGGTCGGCGGAGAAGACAAACTGATCTCGAGCGATCTTGTGATCCTTGCCACTGGATATAAAGGCGATCAGAAGCTCAAGAACATATTCAGATCTTCAGTCTTCCAAAATTACCTCGTCTCTTCACCAACTTCAATCATTCCTCTTTACAGGTACCATTTCATACTTGCAGTTGCGACACCAAGTAGCATCAATCAAAAACCTTTATATTCAAAATGCATATCTTATTTCCAAGTGAGGATTACCAACAACAAGATATTATCTAACTCTGAGACGGCATTGCAGCATTTGGCTAACCTTAAGGTCTCTTGTGTAACATTACAACATTTAGGTGTGGTACTAATTTCAGGGCATCCGAAATGTAGTTTTTTTCCCATAGGATTTTGTAATGATGCTGCGGCCGATCCTGGTTTTGTTGTAACAGTCTTATGTACCGACTTCAGGCAGGTGATTCATCCTCGGATTCCGCAGCTCGCAGTTATGGGATACACAGAGGGCCTTGCAAACCTGCCGGCCTTTGAGATCAGATGCCAGTGGCTCGTGCACCTTCTTGACGGGAACATCAAGCTGCTGAGCATCGGGGCAATGGAAAAGGACACAGCGAGGTGGGAAATTCACATGAAGCGATACGGCGGGAGGAACTTTTGGAGGTCATGCATTGGAACCACCATCATTTGGTACAATGACCAGCTGTGCAAGGACATGAACTGCAATCCCAGAAGAAAGAAGGGGTTTTTGGCCGAGTGGTTCCAACCTTATGGACCAACTGATTATGCACGCCTCACTGATCAGAAACACTGAACAAAAGACATAATCCTTCCTATGATCAGTGATGAATTCGACATGTTGCTTGTGATATTTTATATTACAGAATAGGGAATTGGTTCATGATATGGTCATATGCTTGGATTGTTCAGCAAAAGTCTACATGATTCAAGTCATATGAATGCAAAAATAAGCGTGATTGCATTTTGAATGTAATAACTTCTTGAGACAACCCACCCCTCAAACCATGCTTTACAGAATGAGGGTGATAAAGACATATTTTCATTTGGTGAATTGAAAAGAGCCCATTTTCAATGGCTTCTTGTGCTCTTGCTGGATTCCTTAATTCAATAAGAATCTGAGTCTACCCCCTCATGCTTCTCTATGACTGCCGAATGGTTATAGAGAATCCAAAGAGAAAGTGTGGATTGTAACATGGAGGTAGATGCCCCACAAGTCATCAAGAAAAAATAAGATTAATTAAGGACGACTCTATTTTCACTTTCGATAGGGACCAAACACACCCTTTATTAACCGAAAAGTCTAAAATGCCCTCAATTAATATTGCAACTAAGTTGGCCCGAAAAAGGCAAGTAAATTGGGATCTAAACACCATCTTTCTCGAAGCCAAATAAATGAAAAAAAAATTGGAAAATACATACACAACGCAACTAGAAATCTCATGAAGATAATCTGCAAAACTAGGGAAAAAAATATAGAAAGCCAATGAATAGATTAGTAAATGAATTGCACTTGAAGCATTGGTGATTTTAGGGTCATGCTATTTTCACCTCTTATATACCTGCATACACAATCAAAATTAGGGGTGAGCATGGTTCCAAGTTCTACTTTGGAACTTGAGAAAACCACTAATTTGAGTTTTCATTTTATGACTTGTTAATGTTTCATATTCTTCATATGTTTAAATATTAGTTGTAGTCAATGGATTATAGCAGCAAGTGGTGGTCATTAAATATAATGATTTACGCAATTATTAAATTAATAATACAAATGGAACCTAGGTAGAACTTGAAACCGTCCCGAAACCCGTGATAGGGTAGGTCCAAGTTCCAAAAATGAAAGAACTTATTCTCATGGGCGGGTTCCACCAAGTAGAACTTGTACAGTAACATGGAACCGCTCACTTTTAGTATCGATTCACGCAATGACTTTTCAATTTAATTATATTTATTTGAACTGTAATGCTAGGAAAACTAATCTTTTTATTCTATTTGATGAATGACAAGTTTGTTTAGTATTGTTGCGTTCATTTTTGTTTTGTTTAACTAAAATGAAATTGAAAAAAAACCTATTAGACCTCAAGCCTACCCTAAAACCTGTGATAGGGTAGGTTCTAGGCTCCAAGTTCTCGACGAGTAGGTTTGGGTTCCAAAAACAAGGAATCCGTGCTCGATGGTAGGTTACAAGTTCTAAGTGAAATATGTAAGGAACCTAGAACCGTTCACCCTTAATCAAGATCTACACCCTCAACTCTCTCTATCTCTCTGTGATTGGGAGCAAAGTCATTTGGTTGGGAAAAAACATAAACTCAAGATAAAATCACCTTTGCCTAAGGTGCGTTTCATTTACAAATCTCTTCGATGATTCGTCGTGCGCTTAAAGTTTATCGGGAAGATTTTCTTTAGTTAATGAGCAGTGAAAATACTTTCAATCTGTAAATGATAAAGAAGTCCAATGAAGATAACCTGCAAAACTAAACAAGAAAACATTGAAAGCCAACAAACAGATTCAAAATTCCTTACCAAGAAGATGGAGTAGGGTTGTGTGTTTAGATCCCAATTTTCTTGCCCTTTCATGGCCAATTTAGCCGACTATTTCAATTGAGTGCATTTTAGACTTTTTTTAAATAATAAAGACGTGTTTTAGCCATATTGAAAGTGAAAATAGAGTTGCCATTTAACTAAAGATGATTTATTTATCGAGTCGATGAACACAAGAATCGTAGCGGAGAATGATCATTTGTCGAATTGCAAAATCCAAGGACCAAACCACATAAAATTAGCATAATTTGCTCAAGTTAAAAGCTTCTAGAAGAGGCAGTAGAGAGAACTCTTCTTGTCCTTTTTTCTTTCGTCGGGGAAAACAAGAAGCAAAGATGAGATTTTTTCGATAATATCGCAAAATTTGTAAGGAGCCCAAAGGTACTTCGTTGAGCCTGCGTTTCCACATACCCGACACTCGAGAACAACCAAACATCACCCAACTGCCAAAGTACGATGAACAAGAACTAGAGAACAAGAAACCCCGGTAACAAAACAGGGACGCCACGCTCTGCAACGATCTTGATGACCATGGCTTCCTCTTCGATGCACCACCAGCTGTCTTTCGGCAAACACCCTCTTCTTCCTCGTGATTCCTGGCTGCAGCCCCGTCCCCGATTCCCGTCCGCTCGCTTCCCCTCGTTCAGTGTCCGAGGCAGCTCTGCTCTTGCTGTTGAGCCGGTACACTTTCCAAACGTTACGCCCTTTCTTTTCTTTGTCTCTGTTTTTTATCCCCGGTCTGCTATAGAGTTCAAGCTAAACAGTGTTATTTGAGGCTGTTGGTAAACTGTAACTATGTGCTCTCTAGTGTGGTCTTATTGCAATTCTCGCGTTCTTGTTCCACGAAAAAGAAGTAAACTGCAATGAGAATGACATAGAGAACTGTCAAGAACGCCCTCAGAGCCAGACACCTAACCGGTAAAAACTTTGATTGAGCCCTACTTGCTGAATTTTGCAGCATTTTTCTGTTTGTGTATTTCCCGTGGCCTGCTCTTCAAGGTAGTCAATCTGATTTTGTGATGTGGTGACTTTCTAATTGTATAAGCCTTATTAGTCCACAACAAGTGTGATTTTACGATAATAGATTGAACCCATCTCGACTTATTACTTCACCGGGGTTTACTACCTAACCCCAAATGTTTGGAATTCAATAGAGCTGCAACATCAACTTAGAAAGGCAAGATTTTGTATCGCCCCTTTGAATTTGTTAGCAAACTAGGAAGTCAAATTTTTATTGTTGTGTTTTGATTTTGAGGTTTGAATGGCGAGTACAGACATTTCTGTAGAGTAGCAATTTAATTTATGATGCATTTGCGGATGATTTCTGTAATGGAGCTATCCAAGTTTGACTCTGAAGAATTTTTCAATGAATTTGCTGCAGCTGAAATGTCTCGGTGCTGGATCTTCTAGTTTGTTAATGACAGATCTTTTTCTTTAGTTATGTACCCAACAAACTAAACTTTTTTGAAATGCCATATTTGTTGGGACATATGCCCTCGCTGACATCCTTCTGTGCCAGCTTCTTTCTTTCTTCCATTAGTATGCTTGTTATGAATCAAATTATCATATCTCAGGACACGGGAACTCAGAAAGATCAAACTTTGGAGGTTGAGATATTTTCTTGCCCAATATGCTATAAACCCTTAGTAAGAAGAGGCCCATCTGGTCTAAACTTGTAAGTTCTGGAACTCATTATCTGGTTTAGACAACTGATTCTGCATAATGCTTTGATGGGATTAGTTCTGACTCATAACATCAAAATTGTTCAGGGAAGCCGTGTATAGGTCTGGTTTTAAGTGTAAAAAATGCAATAAGTCATATTCCAGCAAAAACAACTTTTTAGACCTCACTCTTACTGCTGGTTTGAGGGACTACGTCGAAGTCAAGCCAGCGCGGACAGAACTATTCAGGTATCACTAACTGTGGTCTACGACCAGGCCGTTTCAACTTGAATTATGGATTGTCATTGTTTATTACCTTTTGCACTATTGGTATGAGGGTTATCTTCATCTTTTACCTTTTAATCACTTGCTCTTTACCGCCATATCTGAAGTTATGTTCAGTTGGTTGGGGTGGAAAACAGGTAAGGGAGAACCAGTCCACACATTGTATGTCGAACCGTGATAATTGAGTCCTCTCTTTTATAGGCAGCAGGTTTAGATTCCTCTATGGTTTGCGGCAACTTGTCGTGCCGCTTCAACTGGAATTATTGGCAGGGACATTTATATTAGAAATGGGAGATTGCCCTCTCCCAAAGGATATGTAGCTTTCTTGCACCTATTGAGAAAAATATGTGGGCTTTTTGGAATTTCCTCTTTCTCAGATCATAGTTTTCTTCTCAATTAACCCACCATCTTATTTGATTGCAAGGTTACATAATGTATGTTCTTGCTTGATTTCTGCACTACTTCATCCTCTCTAGATTGCCTTTAAGATTCACTAATAAATTTTCTGTGAATTATCTGATACCTCACCTTGTGTTCTTGCTTTTGCTAGGAGTCCCCTTGTTTCATTCTTATACGAGAGAGGCTGGCGTCAAAATTTTAACCGCAGTGGCTTTCCTGGTCAAGATGAAGAAGTACGGTCTCTGGCTAATTTTATCCATTAAAATATAAGCCATGAGGATTTGTGGAAGGTCATTTTGAGACTGCAAGAGTTGTAGAAAATTTTACCTTGTAAAATGTGCATGCGGTGTTCTTTCATGGGCTATAAAAAAATATCAGATTCCTCCACTAAATGTGTTATGCAGGAGCAAGCCAATTCTAATTTTCTAAGCTTATTGTTCTTGCAAGATTTCTAACCTGTTATGCAGGAACAAGCCAACTCTAGTTGTCTAAGATTATTGTTCTTGCTAGATTTCCATGATAAGCTGTTAATGGCGTAATCTATTATTTCAATGCAGTTTAAAATGGCTCAAGAGTACTTCAAACCTGCAGAGGGTGGCCTTCTAGTTGATGTTAGCTGTGGAAGTGGTTTGTTTTCCAGAAAATTCGCAAAATCCGGGACTTATTCTGGAGTAATTGCTCTTGATTATTCCGAAAATATGCTACGCCAATGCTATGATTTCATTAAACAGGATGATGCTGTTTTAAAAGCGTGAGTTCTTCCATTCGATAGGAACTTGAAAGTATGGAAGCTATCAAGTGAAACGTTATTCTTGTTTGCTTGTGAAATTAATACTAAAGAAGAGATGGCTTGGCATTCTGGGACATTGCAGGAATCTGGCTCTTGTTAGAGCTGATGTTTCAAGGCTTCCATTCTCATCTGGTTCAGTTGACGCTGTACATGCTGGGGCGGCATTGCACTGCTGGCCTTCCCCTTCTAATGCTGTACGTTCCTCTCTCTTGTTTAATCTAGATCAGTGTTATTGAGCCCGTCCTGTCTCATAAGTCACATAGGCATCCTGGAAATTGACTAGATACTGGAATTATATTCTGGTGCTTTATAGAATTCAGAAAGAGTAAAGTGAATTTCAAATAAGTAATGAGGACTCATGCCATCAAATGAATGATAGGCTTGTAGTTGTATCATGGATGGATGTCATTCCAAGCAGCTTAGGTTAGTATATTGATTTTGATCTTCTGAAGATGATTCTGACTGGATCATAGTGGGGATTCTTATCGAAACTTGCAAGAGATTTTACTGATTGCAAAAGATAGTTGACTGTTGCGCAGCCATTATCGATTTGAATATGGCCAAGCCATCCTATTTTTAATGGTTATATTGGCAAAGTCACTTCGTGGAAGGATGGCTTCGCTTATTATCGACATAAAAATTGAAACTGGCCAGCTGCTTCTCATGGCCCTAGACATCTTTATTGAGTTATTCGCTTTCAACAAAGATGAGCATTTGATTTGCCAACAATTGCCATTATAAACGGGGGAATTACCTTCCACAGATATCCAAAAGTTGACAGATTTGTAGGGGCCTTACGGCTAGAGGCAATTTCAGACACTGTGCTATGCCACACAGAGAGAGAGAGAGAGAGAGAGAGAGGGTGCGAACATGTAGGACTTGAATGCACCTCCCCTTGAATCTGATGGTAACATAACATGGAGCTTAAGTGAGTTTGAAGACCTGCTTATGGAAGAAGGTTGAGAATGCGGACAAATAATGAAATGCTAGTGCTATGTTTTCTTATAATATGAGTGACGAAGGGTCAGGCAACAAGAGCCGGTAGTCTCTGCTGTAAAGAAGTCAAGCAACAATTCCTCCTGAGCAGAGAGGTTATTTTATGTGGTAATGCTAATAGAAGCAGTGGAGATTGGGACAAAGAACAGGTCCACAGCACAGCTATGGCATGGAAATTAATTAGGAATGAAGCTTGCGCAACAAAATTATATGAGGTGCTTAGTACCTTCGTGCAGTTATGCAAAGGGTTGCAAGTGTATTAGTGAAGCTGATGGTTTGGGAGAAGTTGGCAGATCGAGATATGAGAGGCCTCTAGTAAACTCGTGGAGTATTTCACATACATACCCCTCCAGTCCATATTGACCCAGTATCGGGATACTACAGTGGAAGAGGGGATGGGGAGTGCTTGGGGAGTTCGAAATCTTTATAGTTTACATAATTACTAGCATAATTTTAGAAGCTGGGTTGAGGGGTTGTGGAATCTGTACTGTTTCAAATAACTTCTTGCGGGTAATTTTAGAAGTTAGTCATTTGATATATGCATGGAAAAATAATAATAATTCATGGATCTGGTTTGCATGGTTCTACAACTCCTCCTCAAAAAGTGCTCAAATCAAATTCATCATGGCCAAATGTGGCTTAACTCAATGATAGATTTCGTTTGTCTAATTACAGTACAATGATGTGAAAAAAGATATGGAAAAGAAATTTTGGTGATTACAGGTTAAATTTTAACAAGCTTTAGCTGTGGAATGAGTTCCTGATATTTAAAAAATTTCTTCATCCCATCAAATGGCTGATATAAAGTTCTTGACCCCTCTGCCACGTATCGGCAGATTGCAGAAATTACTCGAGTATTAAGAAGCGGCGGAGTTTTTGTGGGAACCACTTTTCTCCGGTACACTCCGTCCACTCCCTGGATACTGCTGCCTTTCAGACAGGTACATCTACTTGGCACAGTATACCCATTTTTATTCTTGTAATTAAATTCTAGAACCGTGTGAAATAAGCGAGGGACCACTTTTGTACACTTTCACCTGCACATAACGCTACTCCACTTGGAACATGAAGAGATGATATGAAAAAATAAAAATCACTTACAAGTGGATTGCCGTTTCATTAAGGTCTGTGATAGAGGTTTAGATTCTGATCATCTAATCCATGTGTATTGAAAAGTAATCCATCTTGTGGACTGGTGGCGAGCCCAGTTACTCTGGATGTAGTATATACATCCACCAATGATTTCTTGTCTGTTTTCAAGAACCACTTCATATTTGCCTTGGAAAAACATGTCAATTTGAGTAGTAGCAACAAAATTCATGGAGCATGAGTAAGTTATTCCTGTAGTTGATATTCTAATGAGCGGGTTAGTCTTGATCTCCTTTTTGGCTCACTGTCTTTGTTAAACCATTCTATCTAGGCTGTATCAGACCCTCTCCTTTCCGAAGTTGAAATTTCTTAAGCAAATGGTTCTTCTGATCCATACACATATGCCTTAAACTGTATAACTGCATAGTGCAGTTACTATATTTTGTGATACTAGGGCAGCATCTGTTTGCCATGTACCATTGTACTCTTACACTTTCTGATGTATGTTGGACGATCTCATCCCATGTTGAAATCCCTCGTAGATTATATTGTGAAGACAAAATGAAAAACACTCAGACAACACCATAGACCGTAAGGTTTCATCATTCATGGTCTTAGCATCTGTCTAGGTGCATTTCCAACTCTTCTTCTGTACGGAGCGATTTCCCTAAGGTTATCTAAAAGCCACTATTATTCTCATAATGTGCGCATCAAGCTTGTTTGTGACAATGTTTGGCTGTGTGGCAGAGAACTGCGCAGAATTACAGCTATCTGACCGCCGAAGAGATTGAGGATTTGTGCACATCATGTGGTCTAACCAATTACACAAGCAAAATTCAGCAGTCCTTCATCATGTTCTCTGCTCAGAAGCCTTGACACCAAGTAATGCTCAAAATTAAGATATTATTTGCCCCATGATTAGTTTCAGTGTTTCTTCCTTATCAATAAAGTGGGTCACTACATGATTTCTGTGAGCATATGACATTGTGAGCTTGAGTCCTGGGGAGGTGTAAAGTATTGTATTGCTACCAATAAGAAAGAAATGCATTTTGGTGTCAGGATGATAATATTATAGGGCCTTCTTTGAGAGCTTCGAGAGGGACTGAAATGACAGTGCAACGGCCAACGCCACGGTCGAGTTTTTTTGTTAATGATGGATTGAATCCAATGTTTGATGGTCCCAGATGGTCGAGTTGATAAAAACATTGGGTTAGTCTGTGGGCAAACTGATCCAAATTTGTTTCCAGTGTTTAGGTGACCAAAACAATCTACTCCCAAGAGTTTTCTCTGTTATTCTTCTCTGAGAAAAGACCAAGTTCTTGGAGCTGCACATAAGGTTAACATGTACACCAAAGAAGTAAGTCGACTTGACTCTTATGCTGTACCTCATTAGACAAAACAAGAGAAAGGAAATGAAGAGTAATATACTAATATGATATGACTTTAGCTTTACTGTCCTTTTACGTAATTGTATTATGGGAAAGAAAAATATATTTAATAAAAGCATCAATTCCTCCGAATCCCCTCAAACTCTTCCATATTCAGATGGATTTGCGGGGACTTATAATGCACATCAAATTAACTACTCCCGATCCCACCTGTATATGAACTGTAGGTAACCAACGACGAGTCACTTATGTGTACAAAATCTTGTGATATTCATGGGATTCCTTACGAGCTTCGATACATAGGCTCTACACTTATATACGTACTGCAATCGATTCCGTCCGTCACGCTAATAATTTGTACATGAAAACTGCACTAGCATAGCTTTGGATCTTTCCTTTAGAGAAAGGGTTCTACATGTGAGCTACTTCCTATGATGTTGAGAAGCATATGTTTTGCATAAATTATAAAACTTTGGGTGTGAATATAATAAAGAAGGGTGCATGTGGAGGAGGGTTGGAGTTATAAATAGAAAGGGCATTTGGACGGGGGCAAAGAGATCCCCTCGTGCGGCTCACCCGCTGACCCAAAACTCTTGTTTGTTCTTCTTGCTCCTTCTCCTTTGACCATTGACCACCTCCCCAAAAAAAAAAAAAAAAAAAAACCATAATCACACACTCAAAAACTTTAGAAAAAGAAACGTAGAAAGGAATAATTTTCTCAGTACAAAGCTCCACGAAAACCTTGCTCTTTAATTGTTTTTTTTTACGAGTCCGCACAAATAAATTGTCAAAAGTGCAATTTGTGTAACGATTACAGTAATAACGTGATCGAGCCAAAAAAAAAAGGGGGTCAATGAATCGAATTTTTTTGCCCTTTTTGTTGAGTATTTTTTGAATTATAAAGTACCTCAAGTTATATGTATCTTATGCAATAAGAAATGTTTCCTTTGATTAGTGTCGAATTTATCATCGGATCCTTTGCACGTGAGGTACTTCTTTACTACACCACCGTGCACCTTTTCATGGCACGTGGGGGTTGCCCATTCTTTGAAACTTTTGCTAAATTCTTTTATTTATTTATTTATTTTGGCCCTTTTTTTCCTTTTCTTTTTTCTTCCTTTCTTTTTCTTCCCTTTGTTCGAAGTTTTTGTTTTGAATGTTGTTTTCATAGAAAAAGTTGATTTTGTAAATTCAAATAAATGGAGGTTGCACGTGAGTAGTTTCCTAATTCCAATGGTCGGTTCTGATAAATCAAGAGGCGCCCATTAACCGAAAGGTTATTTGTATGTTCGGGACAAAATCATTTCGATGTTGTCCTGAAATGTATGGACAATATTTTGCTCTCCTCACTTTTGTCTTATCTTTTGGGTAATGAAGCCATTCTACATTCAAAATCTCAGAAATTATAAATGCTTTGGTATCTTGCCTATTTTAAAATTTATAATTTCTTCGATCATAGTATAATATACATACGTATATGTGTGTGTGATCGTATGTTGTCTTAAATATGAGAAAACGTTTTACGCATCCGTTGCATTGGTGTCCTGGAAAAGAAATTGATCACTTTGGAATAAAGTGTTGCATACATAGAGGGAAACTAATAGGGATTTGAATTTTGACAAAATCTAAGTATTAATATGCTTATTTCTCCATGTATCAATGGCAAGTGATAAAAGCGATTACATAAAATACTATTTTGTAAATTGTAGACATAAAATTGTGGGTCGTAACGTGAAATTAAAACAATAGGGTTTTGATTTTCTTCATTCTATATGAAATAGCGAGAAAAAATGCAGATAATCATCGAAAAGAAAATATATGAGCTGGAAAAAGGACAAATGTACAGGCGATTGTGAAAAAATTGATGATTGCATTAAGTAAATAATTCGCAAATAGATCCTCATAAATTATAACTGAGATATTGAAGCAAAATACTTGTTAAGTTAATTATTTTTTACTATAAAGCCATTAAATAAAAGTGTATGGATTTTATCTACCGCGATATCCTATATAATCTCACGTACACAAGCATATCCAAAATGATACGAGACCTAAAAATCAAGCTAGCAATACATTATTCACAAATAAATCCTTACGAAAAATATAACCGGTACATTAACTCAACGAGAAATAAAAAATCTAGATTAAGATCTCATTTCAATTCGAGTTTAGATGTATTGTGTCATCATAATAACACATTAGCATAATTTTGCAAAGGCGGTGTTAAACTAATGCATTAAAAACGTATTGGTGTATTTAAAAATTAATTTCCTATTTCGAGGAAACAGGTGGATCTCTCCCTTCAACAACATGTAGATGTAAATATTAAATTAGAATAAATTCCCAATAATAGAAAGGTCCAGAGACCTACCAAGGCAGTGGTCAATATGCCTATAAGCCAGCTTCGTCAGGACTTCTAGGCTAAAAAAGGATACGAATTTTCTAGAGAAGATTAAAATAATATCTTATATTATATTAATCCACGATTAGATGGCTTGATATTGCTAATGAATATCATTAGCTAGTGCTCTTATAACCATGGTCATTGCAATTATATGGAGCGGGGTAATGATTTTAGAGAAAAGAAATATCACGAGATGCAGTAATTTCACAACACCACAAGATATTAAAATAAGCAAAGTTTAGATTTTTTTTTTTAAAATTTTAAGGTCGTAAGGGAAAGTAACGACATATAGTAGAGAGGTACGCCAATCCAAGCACATCGGACGTATCAATGTACGTCGAACGTAACTTAACAGATTATCTAAACAAACATTCAATTATTCATATTTTTTCGTATGGTTATAGTTCTTAAGGTAGAAGAATGGGTAGTTGAGAAATGAGTGAAATTCCTCTCAACTAGGCCAACTCTTGATTTCAATGATTAATCTTTTATAAGTATATTATAGTAGTTTTCGAAGGGTCCATTTAGAGTGATTCTTATTTTTTTAGCTTAGTATTACTATTATCATTGGCTTTTTATCACTGGGGAAAGTTATTGTTATAATAATTGGCCATTTACTTACTAGGCATATTTTAAAACTTATGTAAGGAATGCAATGGAATCCAAAACATTTTGATCATTACAATCCAATCGTGAACCTTTCTTAAAAAGTGCAATCAAGTTTTCTTGGATGAATAGGACCAAAAATCACCTATGCAAGAGCCTTAATACTTCACTTCTCAATATAAATTTAGGACTTAATTATGCTTTTGAGTAAAATTTTTAAGACTTGATCGCATTAAATTAAAATATTGTTTGATTACTTTAATTTTAAAGTTTGGGATGAGATTGCATTCGGCATATCAGGCGTTTGCATTGAAAGAGGATTGACAAAATGCATGCTTAACTTTCCAATCGCAAAACCCCAGTTCAAGTAAAGAACCAAAATGTTAGACAAAAGGAAGACTAATTAGGAATTGGTCTCCCAATAAAAGAGTATTTAATACAATACATAGCAAACCCCAAGATTAGCCCTTGGTTGGAGCACAGAGGCGCGCCGAACTACGCACCCTCAAAATTGGCAACGGGGAAAATCTTATTAATTAGGGTCATTAATGTTCGCCTTTCTAGTGCTTAGTGAGTTGTGTTCTTTGATTGCATATTGGCTACAAATCCACACAGACAAACGCCAACAACACATAATTATTTGAACTCGCGAGCACAAACAAGATCTCCTCCTCGCTTTTGAGCGAGTGGAGTGGTTGGTCGGTCTAATGTTGCCATGTTTGATTCCCCAAAACCCGGGTGAATTTCCTCGTACATGTCTCTCCTTTTGGCTTTGGCATGTCTTTGATGGCAAACCCACCACCACAATTAGGGCAAAAAGGTAACACAGAGGGAGAAAGAGACAGATAAAAGAAGAAAACCCATCACCAGGGTTTAGGAAATTGTGTTTTTCACGGCTTAATATCGGTGATTAATGTTCACTAGCTTCCTCTTTTGGGCCCTTGTCTCCTTGTATCCCGTGAAGCAAAGGAAAATCAAAGAAGAGTAGTAGGATCCATATTGAAGAACCCCTTTTCTTTTCTCGAGATTATTATTGCATCTACCCTATGCTTGGACATCATCTGCATCCTTTTTGGAGGGGTAATAAGAAATTTGTTTGATGACGAGGGTGTGTGTTGAACAAGAGTGACTTGGAGGGTTTTTCGGTCAAGAATATTAAATTTTGGGTCATCGAATGGACTGAACTTGCGGTCACATATGAACACACTAACTAGCTGAGCTGCAAATCGAAAGGGATCTTGAGTGGAGTTTTGAATTCTTGGATCCCTAAAAACACGCAGAGCATCCACTGCTGCTTGAATAGGTTCAATTCACTGGTAGTGAACAGGGAAAGTTGTGGGATGCTGCCTCCTTTGTAATTTATATAAATACATGCTTTTACCCTAATCGAGTAAATATTTAATCTTAAAGGGTTTAGTCGGATGGTAAATAATTGCGATTCCGAGCTTCAAGGAGCCCGAGATCTCAAATTTAGCTCTTGCTCAAAAAGCTAATGCACCTAACAAAGAACAGGTAATTAATCGGTCGTGAGGATAGATCGACGCGTAAAAATAACTAATGCTACGCTTATCCGCAACTACTTGCCCCGTAAAAGGGAATCCATGATATCAACACTCAACAAGTTTTGAAGCCATATTATTAGGTAATAACATATTATGGTAAAAAACTATTCTCGGATTGACAATTTTCTATATTTCAATCGTATAGCTTTTAATCTATTAAGTTAATTAACCACACATTCTTTTAATAAGATAAACTTTCAGAAATGACAATGATTTTGCAAAATTTTGCACATAGACAATGTCAATTATCAACATGTTACGGTCGACAACTAATTTTTTGGATCAACAAATTTTATATCTTTACTTTATTTGTGCTCTTATTTTTGCCACAAAAGTTCACTTCTTATTATAGACAAATTTACAAGCCCCAATATTTCCAATTGCGCTTTTCCTTTCGACACCATACTTTTCGCGAAAGTGTTCTAACTAATACTCAGACGCTGGTCTTGCTTTATGCTTGATAATTACTTCATTTTGAAGTAAGGAATGTAGAGTTGACCTTTTACGTAAGCATATACATGAAGAAATTCAGAGAAAGTAAATAGCGCAAGTTATGGAACAACAGGAACGAATTGTTTGTCTAAACTAATTTACCCATTTACCCTAGTGAAAAAGATTGTCCTTTATGAAGAAGTCAAGCAAAATGATAGGTTTGACAACAAAAGAAAGGTTATATATTCTTTTTGTGGTCGCTTTTTTTGACTTTCGACATAAATCTTGCAAAATTCCAAACGAAATAGTCATATCGTTGACGTGAAAAGAGCGGAGTTAATCAATATAATCCTATGACGTATGTATTCATAATTTTTCATGAGATATGATTGGTCGTATCTATCGTGTCGATGCAACGGAATCATGAAAGCGAATAACAGGAAGTTTTGGTGGACCAACTTGGCTTGGTTGATGGCATGTAAAGTAGTAGCTGAATCCCATTTTCAGCATGAAACACAATTGATCACGTCAAATCAAGCTGTCATACATGGAAAAAGAAAGTGTCTGTCGATGGCTGATCATTACCATATCAAGAACAATATATCATCAAAAGGGCTGTCCCAAACCAAACTTTACCCTCCATAAATTATTACATTGCATGTGGACTGAATGGCTTCCACTACACAAATTGCAATTGGAACACACCAAAAGAAAATGAAAATGAATGTGGGTGTCTCCAATTTCAAAGTCCACACGCACCAACAAGTTGCTGGGCTAAACCCGAGATCAGAGAATCAAAAAGAAACAAAAGGCAATACATATGAGCTAAAAGGCACATCCTCCGAGGGAAGTGTAATATTTTCTTGTTTTTTGGGTTGGTCAAGTTAGGTTTTTTCTCATGTAATTCTTTATATTTGGCGAGTAAGAGGGCTCTCCAGCCAAGGAGATGATAAACATTAATTTATGAGACTTTTGAAGTGAATGGGAGACACGGAAACAGCGCCCACGTTCTGCCTCATATCTTACTCCCTTACTTTAATACTCTCTCTCTCAAAAAAAAAAGAAAAAAAAATAGATAAGTGTTTTTTTTTTCAAGAAAAAATAGAAACCCGCTTCCCAATTGACAAAAACTTTGGGTCTCTCAAAACTCAAAGGGACACTAAATATATACCCTTCCCTCTCTTGTGATTCTCCATAAATACTCTTCTTTCCACGTACCATTCTCTCTCTCCCCTTCCCTTCCTTCCCTATCTTTTGATTACTGGTGTCTCAATTCCACTTGCTCACATCCTCAACTTTGTGGCTAGTGTGTTGTCTGTGTTGATCACCTATACCATGGTGAGTGACTCTCTCTCTCTCTCTCTCTCTCTCTGCTTTGAGTTTCCTATGATCTGATGAGAATTTTGGGTTCTGGATGGTGCTTTTAGGGTGTTCAAAAGCCTGCATGGTTGGATGCTCTATACACACAGAAATTCTTTGTGGGGTGCTCTTACCATGAGAATGCAAAGAAGAATGAGAAGAACGTATGCTGCTTGGATTGCTGCGTTAGCATATGCCCTCACTGCATCCCGATCCATCGCTTCCACAGACTTCTCCAAATTCGGCGCTACGTGTACCATGACGTCGTCCGGCTAGAGGATCTCCAGAAGCTCATCGACTGCTCCAACGTCCAAGTAATGATCGATCGCCGATAATTATATCGAAAAGAAATAAAGAACTTTCCTAGAGCTTTGTTAGCGACATAGTGATATAATCTCTAGCTGATCCTATTGATTCTCTTGATTTCTTGAAAGGCATACACAATTAACAGTGCTAAGGTGGTGTTCATCAAGAAAAGACCACAGAATAGGCAATTCAAAGGGGCCGGGAATTATTGCACTTCCTGTGACAGAAGCCTCCAAGAACCCTTCATCCATTGCTCTCTAGGGTGCAAGGTAACTTTATTTCTTTATCAAGAATTAATCATGTTGTTTGATTTTCTTTTCATGCATAATCATGAAAAGATCAGGAAATGATCATTCAAAGCAACCCCTAAAGAAGAAAAAAAGGGCCTAATTACACTTTAAACCCCTCAACTGTAAGAATTCTTGCTCGTTCAAACCCTAAAAACGTGAAAAAATGGCTTTTGATTGATGTTATCTTACTGTCAATTTTTGCACTTAACTACTTGTGTCTAATTAGCTAGAAGATATCATATGATCTCATCATCTTACTTAAACTGTATACACACACACACATAATTATTTTCAATCTGTAATTTAAGATAACATCACGCACTACTTTTTGCAGATTTTGGAGATAAAAATATAGGAGTCTATCTATCACTGTAGTTGAAAGAGTGAATTCTGAACACCATTTCAAATTATGAGTATCAAACATCAATAAGGGCTTACTAATTCCACGAGAATAATAACCATCATATGATTTATAAAATTGTATGTCCATGTACTCGAAGGTGGATTATTTGCTGAAACACAAGAAGGACCTCACTCCCTACCTAAGGAAATGCAAGACCCTGCAGCTGAGCCCCGACTTCTTGTTCCCGCAAGACATGGCCGATGACGACATGATGACCAACGAGACGCAGCACTCGACCATTGTCGACTGCAGTGACTCGCCGATGAGCGACTCCTCGGGCTCGTCCGGATCGGAGATCAACAACAACATGATGATGATGAGCAATAACATCGCATGCGGCGGAGAGGTTGTGCGCAAGAAGAGATCGAGTGGACACTACAGCGTGTGTGGAAGATCAGCAAGTAAAGTGTCGCAGGAGGACATAATTATGGCCTCCAGCATTAGTAGTACCAGGAGAAAAGGCATCCCACATAGATCTCCTCTATGTTAGAAGAGAGGAAAAAAGAATAATATTAACTTCAAGTCCTTTTTTAACAAATTCTATCAAAAATATGATTTCCTCTCTCTCTCTCTCTCTCTCTCTCTCTCTCTCTGGGTCTCGTTTGGAGTAAAATAATGGGTTGGTCGGAGAGTTTGTCTTAATGGCATCACGTGATTCCCAGTTCCAAGTTATCGGCAGTACAACTTTCTAGGGTTTTACATTGTAATTGCCTAATGTCCTTATTATATATACAAGCTAGGAGCTAATTAAGCTCGTTCAATTTGGACCCAAAAAAGTTCCCATTGATGAATGGACCACTCTCAATGATCTTTCCTTATAGATCTCCATGTTACATGTACTAGAGCATTCCATTCCATGGAGAGAATTTTTAGGAACCACTACTTAAATCGAAGGTCGCTGTATATCATAATTCTTCAAACTTATTTTGATCTCACATGACACAAGCCCACACCTACTTCCATGAACTTAATTCAGTGAATTGATAATTTCTTTTTCGATGATTTTAACCTGAAATTAACTTGTCTAACCATGCCACATTACCGATTGAATTGCTTTAACGGTCCATAAATTTGAGAGAGAGAGAGAGAGTAAAAAGTTCTAAATAGGATTTGACCGGTCAAATTCCTCCTCGCACACTCAATAAGAAAAGTGGGGGTGCTCTGCCATGAACTCAGAGTTTACACTTATAAAATAGTTGTCGTTTGAAAAGGGACGTAAAGGCTAATCATAGCATGTTATTTTAGAAGACAAAAAGGTGTGGAATCTAGAACAGTAATGGAAGAAAAATAATGAAAGCGATACGCCTATATATTTCTGTTAATGAGTTTCACTCGAGACTCAGATAGAGAGCACATGAAAACAAATCAATGGCTCTTGAATACGGTGTTAGCTATGCAGACGTACATTAAGATCTTAGGGTACGTTTATTTCGCGAAAAATAAATAATTTGAAAATTAATTTTCCGAAAAATGATCGTTTGCATTGCTGACGAAAATAAATTAACGGAAAATATTTTCATTATCTACGAAAATGTTTAGACATAAGTTGTTATCGATAATAAAAACATTTTCCATCGACTAATTATTTCAAGTGATATAAGCGATCATTTTTCGGAAAATATTTTTCAAATCATTCATCTTTCGCGAAACAAATAGAGTCTTATAGTCCAATCCACTTATGGATTTTGAACAATGCTAGAGGCATTATGTTTTCTTCTTTTAAAGTTATTTATCCCTGGAAAATAAAGAGTAGAGTACAGATACTCTTACGATTGCATTTCAACCATTTCTTTTTTGATTCGAATCGTCGTGTCGCAAGGGTAACAGAGGCGTGAGCGGGTTTCAACAATCTAATCGAATCTTGACATATTTCTTTGAATCAAATTTCAGTAAAGGTCTAAATGTAGACCATAGTAAAGCCTATCTTTTAACTGCAAATTTGAGGAAGTCCCACGTTCAATGGTATTATTGCTTTTTTCCTTTTTCATGGTACCAGGAGAATCAACTTTTCCTTGGAATACTTTGATGAATTGATGTTTTGACGTAGAAAGAAGCGATAACTTGGAAAACCTTCCACAATTCGACTGGAATTCAATTTGATAATAATCTGAATACAAAGCTGGACGTCATTTAATAATGATAAGACTCCTAAAGATATCCGAATTAATGAAGATAACATCAAAGCAAATCAAATCTAATCTTATCTAATAAAATCAAACGAAATATTGATAATTCGAAATTGCCTAAAGTAAAAAACTGCCTGAAACTCTATCCAGACGACTTCGAAATGCTAAAATCCATCATATGTCACAGCATAGCGGTGAGTCCGAATGATACGGCCATTTCGCTTCAACCGACCAATTTTGAGCGCGATCCGAGGTCGTTTTCCCCAAAATCAGAAAAACTGCCGAGATTTCCGGCGATTACGACGATCACATTTTTCAAGATAATCACAGGCTAATTGTTCTACATCATGTTTAATTTATTTTTTGTATATGCGATAGGAAGAAGATAAAGGAGATAAGAAGTGGAGGGTGAGAGCTCGACCTTGCAACGAGATTAATTGTGTATTCGTGCTAAGCTACACTCAAACAAGAATGGAGCCAAAAAATTCGAATACTAAGTTCTAAATGTGGAAACTCGCTGAAAATGCAAATGAAAATAAAGAGTTGTTTCGTCGTAGCTGGAAAAATGAATGCGGAATGTGCCTAGTTTATTATTGCTAAACGATAAAAGAGTGATTTAAGTAAACTATTAGAGAACTCCGCATGGCAAAGTGACGGGATTAACCCGACAAGATCAAGCTGTCGGGAGATCATGCATCCCGACGGTATTGAGATTAAACACCAGTTAACCATTATCTAGTTACAACGGTGCCACCACTAACTAAAAAGCCATGCATACATTGATCTTCATATCGATTTGACCACTGTAGATTGTAAGGCCACTGTAGAGCACTGCACATTTTCGGAGTGTCACGTGTCCTTAATGATGAATGTTTGTCCATTCGTATTGCCAATTGTCATCCAAAATCACCGCCCGAGAACCCATTAAGAAAAAAACGTTTATGTAAGATAAATGGCTCGATTGGGCAAAGGATTGGACTTCTTAGAATCCTAATTTGAATTCTTTGTACTCTTTCGATCATTTACTGAAGGATCCGGGTCGTAAATCCGGATTGCCTTAACCCAAATTTTGTATCACAGATCAATTCGCGGAGCTATGCTTTCGTTGCACTACAAAAAAACACGAAATTTGCGACGAACGTTTTTCCGTCACAAATTTGCGACGGAAAATACAATCCGTCGCAAATTCCGTCGCAAATTTGCGACGGAAAAACGTTCGTCGCAAATTTCCGACGGAAAATAAAACCGTCGCAAATTTGCGACGGCATTGTAAGTCCGTCGCAAATTTGCGACGAAACAACGTCCGTCGCAAATTCGTAGTTTATCAGCCCGTAATATTCCAACCCTATCTCTCTCTCTCTCGCTCTCTCTCGTTTTTCTCCCTCTTTCATATGTCTGAAATCAGCAAAATTCGCGGGCGCACATATTAATCTCGGTGAAGCTTTTGTACCGGTAAGTGTCATAGCTAGCTTCGTGACTATTCGTCGTTGCATTGTAATTTCTTTTTTTTTAATATATGTTTATGTTTATTTTTTTTTGGTATCTGCATCACCGGTTTAACGACCGGCGACACCTCGCCGGCCTTTGGATTAGGCCGAACGGCCACGCCATTTTGCGACGAAAATAGTTTCCGTCGCAAATTTACGACGAATAAATGAAAATTCTGTTGTAAATTTGCGACGGATACTATGTGCCGTCGCAAATTTGCGACGGATACCTGATTCCGTCGCAAATTTGCGACGAATAAATGGAAATTCCGTCGCAAAATTTGCGACGGAGTTCGATCCGTCGCAAATTTGCGACGGAAAACTATTTCCGTCGCTATTCCGTCGCAAATTTGCGACGGATACTATTCCGTCGCAAATTTGCGACGGCACATAGTATCCGTCGCAATTTTGTGACGGATACTCTATCCGTCGCAAATTTGCGACGGAACATAGTATCCGTCGCAATTTTGTGACGGATACTCTATTCCGTCGCAAATTTGCGACGGCACATAGTATCCGTCGCAAATTTGCGAAGGATACTGATCCGTCGCAAATTTGCGACGGCACATATATCCGTCGCAAATTTGCGAAGGATACCTCGATTCCGTCGCAAATTTGCGACGAATAAATGAAAATTCCGTCGCAAAATTTGCGACGGATACTATTTTCCGTCGCAAATTTGCGACGGATACATTCCGTTTCCATCGCACATTAAAAATTATTAAAAAATGATTCTTAAGTGATTATTCTTTTTTGGGTATGTGCCTAATTGAAGGTCTCGCAATCCAAGTGGACGTTGCAATTCTCATTAAATTGATCACTTTCTCCTACAAATATTTCAGTCAAATATTTGGGTAAGTCTTCTTTACATTGTAATTTTTTCTATTTTTGCAATTTCATATTAATTGTTGCGTGAATAACAAAAATTATCATTTCCAAAATTTTATGGTTTTAATTAAAAACAATAGATATGATATTTTAAATATTTTACCAGAATTTTTTATTTTAATACGAGACACAATGCAAAGAGAAAGGGTTTGGATGTATAATAAGAACTTACACGGACGTCAAGGATTGACGAGATGAGTTTAAATCTTGGGTTGGAACTATTTTTAGACTTTGCTAGTAGTAAATATGAGTTTATGGATGGAAATAAGTTAAGGTGTCCGTGTAAAAAGTGCGGTAATGGTAAATTTCTTGTGTGTGATCAAGTTAGAGAACACCTTATTAGATTTGGGTTTACTCCGAACTATTATAATTGGACTTCCCATGGTGAACCATTTATATCTGATGAAGGATATGGAAGAAGTGACCAATTGTCAGTTAGGGAAGAATGTGACTATTATGAGCAATTGAACCCATACGAGAGGATGGTGATTGATGCAGCTAGTTATAATTTTGTCACAGAATCAAATCATGCAAGTACTAGTTTTACTCCTACACGTGAACAAGTGGGTACTAGTCATGCTTCACAATTGGAAGATATAGGAGTAACGGGTTTTGAGGAGAATGTGTATAATGAAACTTTTCAATCTAATCAGTTCTGGGATGTCTTGAAAGTAGCAGATGAACCTCTATGGGCAGGTTGTAAGGACCACACTCAATTATCGGTGACAGCCCGACTATTAAATATCAAGGCAGAGCATAATGTGTCTGCGGATTGCTTCAACTCTTTTGTTGAAGTAATGCGGGAATCATTGCCTCGTGATAACAACATGCCAAGTGATTTTTATGATATGAAAAAGCTAGTGGATAACTTAGGTCTTCCGGTTGTAAGGATTGATGTATGTAGTAGGGGTTGTATGATATATTGGAGAGATGATGAAAATGCAGAATCTTGCAAATTCTGTAGCCAACCTAGGTACAAGATTAACAGGAGGCCGGGTCGTAATCGGAAGCGTAAATCATGCAAGCAAATGTTTTATCTGCCCTTAATCCCTAGATTGCA